CCCGAGGCTGCCAGCCACGCAGTAGTGGTCGACCATGACGCTGCAGTAGGCCGAATCAAAAGCCTCGGCGACCGAGACCTCGGCGTCCTCGGCCGGGAACGTCGCGTCGTCCCACTTGTTGGCGGTCGACGCACCGGCAAAGCCCGTGATCGTGATGAGGACAAAGAGGGCGAGCGCGACAAACACGAAGAACGCGTAGGTGTAGAGGAGGCACTTCTGGCGCTTGATGGCGCCGATGAGACCCATGAACGCGATGAGCACGACGAGCACACCGAACGCGATGAGGAGGCTGAAGGTCGCCGACGTCGAGCCGTTGGACGCCGACTCGTAGATGGTCGACCAGCTCGACGACGTGGCTGCGCCGACATAGATGAGGAGCGCACCGGCGACAAGGAACGCAAAGTTGAGCACGATGAGCGTGACCTTGGAAATGTCGGTGCACATTTTGGCTGGTGGTCGTCGACTCAAAGCCAATTGAAAACTGAGCGACGGTGGACGATGTAAGGTGCGTCGACTTGCAGGGGTTGTGGACGACGTTGTGTGGACGACGACTGTCTTGCGTGTAGTATCTGAACACACGTGGTCACAAAGCTGCGGATTTCCAGTTGCTCAGCCACTCAGTCACACAATCAAGATCCGTCATCATCGCAAGCTTCGATCGTATTCCGTGGCGTCGTGTCTCGCGAAATGGCCGCGACAAGGCGCGGCAGAGCCGGCAACGCGGCCTCAAGTCGCAGCGTGCGTCATGTGTCGGCTGGGTCGGTGGCGGGGCACGGAAAGGGGACTTGCAACCGCTGGTTTTCTGTCCATGTCCATCTCGACTGGCGCCCTCGATGTGTAGATTCGAGGCAACGAGCAGCAACCTGTCGAGTGGGTGCAAGGGCCGTCGACGTGGGTGGATGGCTTCTTGAAGAACGTCATGACGGTGCATGTTTGTGCGCATCGGCTGCCTTGCTTTGCTCCTAGGCCAGGCGGACTTCGTTGCTGCAGCGAAGCCAGGATACTGCCAGGAGCACAATGCGGCGGTGGTTTTAGCTACCACATGACGTGCTCTCGTACGCGCACAACGCAAGCAGATAACATCTGTTTGACGTTGTGGCACACGCACCGAATATTGTGAGTCTAGGTGTGTCTACAGAAACGTAGTGCGCAACACCGTTCACGGGCTAAGCTCTTGGAGGTCGGCATCGTGTACAGCGTGATCGAGCGACTTGAATGGTTTCAAGCCAGCTTCTTGCACCTGGTGGGAATCTCTACTATGGAGTAGCTTTGCGTTAGTAAACTCAAAATTTCTCCCGAGAATCAACAAGCAAACACAAACAATGATAGGCTCAGTGCAGCTTCGTCGCACAGCTGGACACAGTACCGCATTCGCGTGTCTCTTGG